CAAATAAATATAATAACTTACTTCTTGCGTGATTGGTGGCCTGAACTGTTTGTGCAGCTCAATAATTATTCTTAGACAAATAAGAACATTTTCTTCATTTTCAGTCTTTAAACAACAACAACAAAAATCAAGTTATATTTCTGAAGACATTTTAATCTCAAGATTAAGACAAATTGTTGATGGGCACAGTGACACTTTTAATACCAGTACTTGGAAGACAGAGGCAGGCAGAGTACTTTCAGTTTAGGGCTAGACTGATCTACAGAGTGAGTTCCAGGCTGTGAGACCCTGTCTCAAAAAACAAAAACAGTCTAGGCATTTTCTCCATGAATCTCTTCCTGAGTCAATCATATTGCATTTGATTTGCAGAAAAACTCAACAAATCAGATACAGAAGTCCTAGACAGAAAGAACCATGGTCTTTGTGGACCATCTGAACAACATTCTAACATGTTAAAGTAACACTGAGACAGGTGACCCAGCGTGTATGACACAGAGAAAAGTCATGCCATGAATTATTGCCTCTTCCACCCTTTTGATCTAGGGTTTCATGTACCCTAGGTCTGGCATGACTCACTAATGTCTAAAAGTGACCTTGAACTCCTGGATGCTGGAATAACAGGTGTGTTTCACCTAGCCTGGTTTATGTAGCAAGCACTCTACCAACTCAACTACATCCCCAGTCCTGAATTAATGTTGTTTTGTTTGAAACAGAGTCTCACTGTGTACTTCTGGCTGGCTTGGAACTCAAATGTAGACCAGTCTAGCCTCAAACTCCCTGAGAGCGGTCTGCTTCTCTCTCCCAAGTGTTGGAATTATAGGGATACACCACCACAAACCTGAATTGATGCTTTAGTGGCTAAATGACATCCTGCCTAAAACAAAAAGTGGCTCACTGTTTGGAAATATAGGTTGCACATTGCTGATCCAAAAACCCAAAATCTGAACTGCTCTGAAATCCTAAATTTTTGGAGCCCCTGACAAGATAACACAACTAGGAAAATCTATGCTGTAAAAAATATTTCATAAAATTACCTTGAAGCTATCTGCAGAAGAGGCCAATGATATGTGCCAAAGATATTTTAACAAACTTCACATTCAGGCTCAGACTGTATTCCAAAATTATCCTGTTATGTATATGCAAATATTCCAAAACTCAAAAAAGAAAATAAAATCCCCAACACTCCTATTCCCAAGTACTTGGGGTGAAGTGTGCTCAACCCATGTTGCCAAAAGACAAAGAAAGAACAATCAGCTCCTGAGTACCCACTATGGACTGGACCAGGTGCTAAATTCAAGGCAATGCTATGTTCTGTGAGGGAGGGACCAGCCACTTTCTACCCTCCAGGCCAGGGAGCCTCAGAGATCTTACAAAATCTGGCCAGTGTGGTCAGCTATGAATGGCAGAGCTGAGATAAAAACCCAAGACTGTCTCCTAAGAAAGCTTTCTCTTCTCAAGGGCCCAAGGCACAATGGGATTCTAAATGTCAACAAGACAGGAGAAAGCAAAAAGATAAACACATTCACCTAGGAATCCAGGGTCTTTCTGAACATGGTGGTGCATGCCTTTAATCCCAACCACCTGGGAGACAGAGGCAGGCCAACCTGGTCTACTTGGCAACTTCCAGGCAGGCCAGGGTTACACAGTTAAGACCTTGTCTCAAAAAGAAAAGTGGGCAGGTCTGCTGGCACACACTTTCAGGAAGCAGAGGCCGCTGAATCTCTGAGTTTAAGGCCAGCCTGGTCTATATAGGGAGTTCCAGGTCTGCCTGGGCTACATTGTGAGACTTTAGTCCCAGCACTCAGGAGACAGAGGCAGGCAGATCTTTAGCAATACAGAGAAACCTTGTCTCGAAATACAAAAAAAAAAAAAAAAAAAAAAAGGGGGGGGGGACAAAAATCTTTAAGTAGTCTGTCTTGGACATAGTGGGAGGAAAAGAGACATTAAGAAAAATGTCACTCATTTAATCAGATCTTTAGTGAGGCACAGACAACTACTACTGCATTTATCGTAAGAAAAACCATGAAATGTTTTAAACATGGCTATGGAAATACATATTATTCTCAAAGGTTACCTCTAAAAATCGAAACATCACAGACAGAACATTTTTCGTATGAGGACGAAGATGCTCATTGGTCGGTATCCTGTGAAGTATTTCAAGTACTAGCTTCCGCAGTTGCTGACAAGAAAACACAAATGTTAAAACATGGGACGTCCCAAGCTCACTGTTTAACCTTACACACACATCCCATGGCGGGCTGCAGTCAGTACCAGCAATCACCATCTAAGAGGAATTTGGCCTTAGAAAGAGACCTGCAAATTATGCACATGTAACCCACAGTATGTGTACAGATCATCTTCAGTATCTCCAGAACCAGGTTACATAACAAACTCCATTGTGCTTTTTACAACCTCACCAGTACTCCCAGCACAAGACACAACTTCGAGAATAGAGTAGAATGAAACCCAAGAACAAACAGACTCTTAAGAGGACAGAGAAGGGACTGGAGAGATGACTCAATAGTTAAGAGAGCTTTCTACCCTTGCGGAGGACAGGAGTTTAGTCCCAGCACCTGTCAGGTGACTCACAACCTCCTGTAACTCCAGCTCCAAAGGACCCAGTGCCCACTTCTGACTTCCAGGGGACCCTGAAATCATGTGTGCTCATGCACACAGACACATAATTAATAATAAAATATATCTTTTGGGCTAGAGATTGTTTAATGGCTAAGAACACTAGCTACTCTTCCAGAGGAACTGGGTTCTATTCCCAGGACACAAACAGTGGCTCACAACCATCTGTAACTCCAGTTCTAGGGAATGCTTCCCTCTTCTGGCTTCCATAGGCACCAGACATGCTTGTGATATATAAATATATACCCATACATATTTTTTTCAATCTTAACTGGAAAAACAAACAAACCAACAAAAAACCTTGAAGGAGAAAAGAGAATGCAGAAGAGAACACAAAGTAACGAATTTGAGGGCTCCCTGACACTCAACTCCACCCCTATTCCTGGGAGCCCATTTTTCTTTCCTTGCTACTATGAACAGATACCTGGGCTGGCTTCTCCTGAAGAAACTGGACTTCTCCATCTTGAAGAAATGTAAGAAATCGAGGGATGATATGTTCCAGGAATGTAGAATATTGAGGAGATGATGTGACATTCTAGGTGGCAATTAAAAAGGAAAGACATAGTAAGTTATATGCTTATTTTCATTTTAAATGCACATAACAATGCCAAAAGAAAACAAAGTGTTTTTCTTTTAAAAATGTATCCTTACACCCACATTAGTTTTTATGTGCACCACATGCACTCAAGTTTCCAAGGAGGCCCCAAGAAGTAAATGGATCCCTTGGAATTGGAGTTACAAGCCACTGTGAGCTGGAACCCAACCCAGGTCCTCAGCAAGAGCTGTAAACACTATTAACCACTATAATACCAAATCACTTCCAGACCTGACAATAATTTCCAATGCTTTCAGATGCTTCTGAGATAACATCATGTTAAAATAAATGAAGATCTGAAATGTAACAAAGAGAATTAAGTACCCAAACTTAGTGTTAAAACTGGATATGGTAGAGGTAGCAGAGATGGCTCCCAAGTTAAGTTTCCTTCTGCCATTCTCTTCCTATGGGACCTGAGTTTGGTTCCCAGCATCCACAGCAGGTCGATCACAACTGATGGTAACTCCAGCTTGAAGGAATTCAACATCCTCTTCTGCACTCCACGGACGTGTGGTACAAAGAGACACACACACATGCGCGAGCGCGCACACACACACACTGAACATGCCAAGTTAGACATACAACTCAATGGCGGAGCATATGCCTAGCAGAGGCCTGAGTTTCTAGGTTCAATTCCCAGTACCACACCCACAGTTGCTGGCATTCTTCCCATATTCACCACAGCACAATTCATAAGAGTCAAGAAATTGGAGCAATGGAAGTGTCCATCAAATGGCTGCTTCAAGAAAATATCTGTAACCTAGCACAAAAATGAGGCAGGAGGACCAGGAGTTAAGAGGCTATTCTTTGCTACAAAGCCAGGCACTGTCTTGGGGATGGGGAAGGGGCGTATCATTTAGGTCTTCACTTAAATAAACACTCATACACATAAAATAAATTATCTGTTTAAAACACTAATGTATTAGCCACAAATAGTAGTAAAACCCTTTAATCCCGGGACAGAAGAGGCAGAGGCAAGCAGATCTCTGACTTTCAGGCCAGCCCCCTCTATATATTAAGTTACATACCAGCCAGGGATACAAAATGAGACACTGTCAAAAAAGACAAGACTTTTAAAGCAGCCATTATAAAGTCAATACACACCACATATTGATGGACCACAGGCAACAGTGGTCCTGTAAAATCCTAAAGGAGCCCTAAAAAGTCCTATCTGTCACCTAGTGGTGTCACAGGCATCAGGGCATCAAGGGCAAGCATGCATCTTTGTGGGATGGGATGTCAACAAGTCTCTGAGAGAAAAGTACAGCACATGCAATTATATGCAGTATTTAAAGCTCAAGGGCAAACAACTGCACTGTGGTTTCTGTATTAACTCCACTATGCTTTTTTAGCTGCTTTTCTTTTTAAAGACACACTGGATGAGAGATTCATTACTACACGATTTGGTGGGGTGTGGACAGTGGAATCCCTCAGAAATGCAGACCCTGCCATTTGTCCAGGCAACAACTGTGGATCTATCTGAGCCAACAGCTCTGGGACAAGCCACTGTATCTTGAGGTTCACCTGCATTAAGCACGGTGAAGGCCCACTTCATTGAGGTATGGGTCTTCTGTTGGTCAGGGAACTAAAGCTTGATTCTACACAAGTCCTCACTCACATGTTCCTTATTTTTCAGTTTGGGGCAGATGGACATAATACCCTGACCAGCATGAACTCTGGCCATTGTGCCTTGGGACTTCCCCAAGGCACTCTGCGTATCTTCCTGGAGCCAAGGTGGCACTGAAACTAGAGGCATGAATATCTGCAGGAAAATTGCCTTGAAAGTCCCTCAGGGCAGCCCATAAGCAACAGGCTGCCTACACTCCTAAGGAGGTGGCTGTTTGCAAGCCTTATACTCCATGTCCCCACCAGGGAAGGAACTGGGTCTGCTCAATTGGCTACAGACTTTTTCTATTTTTTGAGACAGAGTTTCATGAAAACAGGCAACACCAGGCTTGTTGTCATTTGAATGTTTACATGCCACTGTCAAACAGTTTGCCATGTATTTTGTGTTTGCTACATTTTGATCATACTAAAGGGCAGGCTGGTGAGACAGCTCAGCAGGTAAAGGTGCCAGCCACTGAACAGCACCTTCCAGGGAACCACATAGTAACCACACACAACCCTTCAAGTTGTCCTCTAGCCTCTACACATGCCGTGGCATGCATGTCTATGCCTATACTCGCACATGCCCACAGATATGATGGTAATTGTTTTAAGAGGCTATGATGACCAACTGACCTATCCCATCTATGTCCATAAGTATACTCAGTGATGCTCAAATAACAAAACTGCCAAGTGACACAATTCTCAGAATGTATCCCCGTCATTAAATGCCTGGTTGTTCAAAAAGTGAAACCAAAAGAAAAAGACAATGTGCAAACAGATAAATGGGTAACAGGAAGAGAAATGAAATCTAAAGAACACAATGGAAAACCTAGAACTAAAGGTAAAGTGTCTTTAAAAACATAGAAAAAAAATACACTGAAAATAAAAAAGTTTGGAGATGGTAGTATCCTTAAAGATAGATCAAGAGAGAGCAGGAGAGATGAATGGCTCAGTCCTGAAAGAGAACTTTTTTTTTTTTTTTTTTTTTTTTTTGAGACAGGGTTTCTCTGTGTAACAAGCCTTGGCTGTCTTGGAACTCTAGACCAGGCAAGCCTCGAACTCACAGAGATTCACCTGCCTGCCTCAGAGTGTTTGGGTTACTCAGTGAGAGCTTACTATTCTTGCAGGGGACCTGGACTGACTTTCTTACACCTACACAGCTTCTCAGAAGCACCTTTAACTCCAGGGACTGACACCTTCTTGTGGCCCCACACGCACTGCACGCATGTGGTACTCGTGTACATACCTGGGTATTCATACAGATACACATAAAACAAAAGATCTTTGTTGTTGTGTTTAAGATCAATCAATATTTTTCCAGTGTAAAAACAAATCAAAGACCAATTGCAGACAGAATCTAGGAGATCTGTGGTCAATATAAAATCATACAAATACAAAAAACTCATAAGGGAGCAACAGAGGTACATCTTAAGTACTAAAATGTCAGGGAGCCCATCATGTCAGACGAGCAGTCACTGGAGCCTAATGAATCACAACATTCATTCAAGTGAAAGCATATAAAGAGAGCTCCCTTTTTAAAAAGTAAAAGTGCCACAGCACAGCAACCAAAACAAAGCCAACATTCCCACACACAACATTGAGACTGCCACCAGGAAGGTCAGCAATATTCTGAACAGTTTCAAATTCTTGTTTTCAAATACCATCAGTTCCACTGACTCTATGGGGTTTGGCAAATGGCTCAGAGGTTGAAGACACCTATTTTTAAGCCCAAGGAAGAACCCACACTGTAGAAGGCAAGTTGTTCTCACAAAGTAAGTACATGTTTGGGGGGAGACTTCTTTCCAAGCACTTTCACACTATAGCCCAGGCTGGCACAGAGCCGTACATATAGCCCAGGCCAGCGCTGAATAATTACCGCCAATCATCCTGCTCCAGCTTCCCACTGCTGGAATTACAGGACGATGCTAATATAGCCTTTGTTATCAGTGACCTCTCAGTCAGTAACAAAAAACAAAACAAACAAACAAATAAAAAAAAATGATCTGACAGGGCTGGACAAATTTTTTAAAAATATTCAAACACAGAAAACTGCAGGGCCATCAAAATGGCCAGAGTTGAATCCCTAGGCCCACATGATAGAAGTCCCCCAGACTGCCCTATGACCAGCGCAGAGCACTGTGACATGTACAGGCAAATACAAAGACATGAAATAAATATAATTTAAAAAAAAAAAAAAAAAAAAAACAAAGCATAAAAACTCATACCTCAAAATTTTCACTAACTTCCTGCATCATTTTCAACTTCGTTTCATCGGCTGTAAAAGGCAAAACAAACCATTAGGTCATTAAAACTGCCTTAAGGAAGCTTAAAAAAAGAAATCACTGAATTAAGAAAAGAGAAGCAATCAGATCTTATCAGTTTGGCTGTCACAGCCTAGAAGACGGCACATGGCTAGGTCCCTACCACCAGTCACACACACCCATCCTCACAGACTCACGTGTGCATGCACAGACAAGTACACAGACACACAAACAGGCACAGCACACACACACTTGTGCCTCTCTGGGGCTCCAGCAGTATTGCTCATCACTTTGCTTCTCCACAGGTAGAAAGGGGGAAACCAAGCATTAAGGTTGTTATTTATTCCAATGGGTCAAAAAGGATTGACTCACGTGTATTTACATCCGTGAGAGCTGCCACAAACTGAAGATATTTCTTCATCAGAGTGGTTTGGTCAACCACCGTGGCCCCCTGGGTTGCAACAAACGCCATCTTTCTGAGTTTGTTTCTTTCTCAAGACTAAAGTACCAAATCCATGGGTTCACCCAACCTGTGAAAAGAAACAGTCCATTAGCATCTTTCAAGGACACGAGCTTATAACCTGTGAAAGACTTTACCGAGTTCCTTCTTAAATTACTTTCATCCATTTATTCTCTGGGGGGAGACCCCTGTGCTTTGACAGATGTGGGGAGGTCAGAGGAACTGCATAAAAGTCCAGCGAATTGCACTCAGGGATTGTGCCAGGTATCATTACCTGCTGAGCCATCTCACTTCCCCTCCCCTAAATGAGTTTACAGTAATCCAGATTATAACACTGTTCTCTGTTGGTTGTTTTTGTTTGTTTTGAACATGGTGTTTCAATATAAAGTTTAACCAAACCCATTGTTTAAATGTTGTTTTTTAACATGGAAGGTTTTCTCTCCCGTTATATATCCTTCTTTCCCCAAGCCAGGAGTTGACAAACATTTTGTATGAAGAGCTGTAGAGAATAGAGGGAGAGCTAGGTCTAGGGCATGCATGTTTATGAAGCCCTAGGTCTGACCCCCCTCCCCAGCAATCTGTAAAGCAGAAGTTGTAATACCAACACTTGAAAGGTAGAGAGGAGCCTGGGATACATGAGATGCTATCTCCAAATATGTTTGGGGGGGGGGGTTAAGCCAGATAGTAAATATTTTATTTAGTCTTTGTAGCTATGCAATGTCTACTATAGTTACCCAGTTCTTCTGTATTCAGGAAGGAATCACAGATGTATAAATGAATGACAACAGCTGTGTTCAATAAAGCTTCATGAATGCTGAAGTGTGAATTCTATATGATTTGGGCTCATCGTGAAATGCTATTCTTCAACATGTGCCCCCCCAACCACTCTTAAAAATATAAAAAACAGCTGAGCATGTTGGAAACACTTTTAATTCCAGAACTCAGGAGATGGGCCAGCCTGGTCTACATACATAGTGACTTCCAAGCCAGCCAGGGCTACATGAGACCCTGTTTCAAAAGAAAATACACACACACAGTGGTAGAGACCTTGTCCTGGGGGTTTTATCGCCAACATTGTAAATAATTAAATAAATAAGTAAACCATTTTCCTAATCATTACCTTCAAGTCCAGGAAGCTGTGGATTTTATCTATACCTGAGGCACAAAACACACTCAGAGAATGCTGCTGCTTCTTTGTGTTACTATATTTACTTACTGGAGTCGAAGGAGGCATGTGCAACACTGCCCAGGCAGAGGTCAGGGGACAACTTGTGGAAGTCCCTTCCTTCTGTCCACCAGGCAGGTCTCAGGGATTGAACTCAGGTCATCTGGCTTGGCAGCAAGCACTTTTACCAAAGGGCCCATCATACTGTCCCCAAAGAATGTTTTAAGAGCACCTAAACTCCGTGAGTTGCAAAGAGGCTGTTGGCCCATAGCTCATAATGTAAAGGGGCTGGCTGCCAAGCCTGGAGACCTGGCTTATGCCTGTAATCCACAGAGTGGAAGTACTGACTCGCACAGAGGTCCTCTATACATGCATGCCCAACACACATACACAAACAAATAAATGAATGTTAAAAACAAATAAGAATGGCTGAGTGGGGGTGCACACCTTTATTCCTAGCACTCAGAGAGTTCCGTAACAGCTAGGCCTACATAATATCAGAGACCCTGTTTGTAAGGAGAAAATGAAAGCCCTAAGCTAAGGATACTATCAGTCAGCCTTGCTACTGTGATTTGGCTATAAATGCTTGCCTTTTTTTATATCACAGTCCCCTCTCCAAACATTGGAGGGCCCTCACACCCAGGGCCACAGCCTTAACAACAGAGAAGTCCTAGTCCTGCCTAAACTTTTTATCTAACTTTTCTGCTGTGGAGGCAGTGTCGTGTAGCTCGGGCAGGAGGAGCTGGCTGAGGTAGGAATGGCCTTGATTCTTGATCCTCCAGCACCCCACCCCTGAAAACCAACACCCCAGGTTTAGGGAGCCCGGGGAATTGGAACCCAGGGTCTTTGGTATCCGAGGGACTGTCTATCCTCTGAGCTATAGATCGAACATCTCTGCAGACTTTTGCGACACTTACTCCCTCTTTATATGCCACTCATTACATGTGGCATTTCCACCCCCCCACCCAAGCCACCCAGTGGCCCGGCCTAAGACCCTGCGCTAAGACTCTAACATCAGGGGAAGACTCCTATTTCGCCTAGGGATTCCGGAAGGGAGTTCTGAACTTTCCGGGAGGCTACAGGCTCAGGCCTGGATGCCCTCGAGCCCACAGAGTCCCCACCCAGGTAAGGAAAAGGCAAACGGCCCCACAGTCCGCTGTCCTCCGTCGGGTCCGCCCCGCCCACGACGCTCGACTGGCTTGACACCGTGCCGCCAGGCCGCCAGGGGGCGCTGCAGCCACCACTACCTTCACTCTCAGCGTCTGGCCCAGAGAGCCAGGTGCCTGCGTGGAGGCCCGCAGATGCCAGGGTGGCTTTGGTAGGGCGCCGGAGCCCCCGCGACTCCTCACTTAATCCCTTCCCGTCGCAAACGGCCTTTGGGTTCCCTCCTTTTGTCGCCGGTCCTTCCCG